TATTAAACTTACCTTCTGCTTCTTCTTCTGGGGTGCAGGACATTCCGAATCCAAAACTGCTGCTATAACATTCTCCGGTGTATAAATGACATCGACTTCCTTCCTCCTCATTTCTTCCATCTCTTCTTCTTCTCCTCCCTCTTTTCTTCTTCATATTTTTCAGTTCATCGTACTTTTTTCTACATAGCTCTTCATCTCTTTTATTTCACCCTTCAATTGAGCTCCTTCATCCGAGTATTTATCAACCACCCCCTTCACCCCCGTAAGTTCACTCCTCAAATCCACAACCTCCTTCACCACTCCCTCAAATTTTTCTCCAGTCACCATCTTAATATCACCCCTTAACACCCCAACTTCTTTCACCACTTCACCCTCAACACCTCTACTTCTTTCACCACTCCATCTATTTTTCCTTCCACTACCCCCTTATGCCTCTCGAGTGTATCTTCGACTCTCTCGAGTTTCTCTACGACTTGATCAAGTTTCTCTTCGACTCTTGATTGTCTTTGCATGATTTCAAATTGGATTTTTTTGATATCAGCCAATTCAGACATCAAAATGTCGAAGTTACTCTGTTTTGCTTCACCGTCGTCCCACTCACCGTCATCCCCCAATACAACCATCCCTCATTTCTTCTCCTCTGCCTCCACTGCCTCCTCTACATCCTTGCCAATAACCTTCAAAATTAAATTACAATATTAAGACATTGATTATATTCTTAATATTATTTAATTACATTTATTACCATTTCTTGCTTCTTCCCTCTATCCAACTTCAACTTCACCATCACTCTAACCACCTCTTCCTTCCCCCATGCACGGATGCGTGCCACTCCAGTTCTTTCATAAGCCGGCACTGCCTCACAGCCCGACCAAAAATCGAACAGTGCAACCTGCATTTATAATAAAATTTATATTTTATATAAAAACACAAAAAAGTGATTCAACTCATTTACCTCTAAGATTGTTATGCACCCTTTGAGGTATCTCTGGCTGCCCTTTTTAAAGGTGATTATTGATTCAATCAATCTCGAATGGATATATTCAGCCCAATTGAATTCACCCTTCAAGCCTTCATCGCAAATGAGCTTCATATATTCCTTGTTCGTTGACGTATCACCCGTTGGACAAAGAAATATCCCGACAAGGTACAATAGAACTCGGGCCTTCAGCTCATCCCCCCAGTAAGATCCACTTTTGATATCCTCTTCAACTTCAGCATATGTCACCTTATGATTCAAACCATATTTGGAGGCAAGTGCTTTCCAGTTCTTACTCCTACAGACTTCTATAACACTTTTGCCTTTGTTTTGTACCCCCAATACGGCTGCAGCAGTCGATACCCCCAGAGGGAATGAATAATCACCATACTTAGCCATACATTGACTGACGTCAAATTGTGCCATCAAGGATCGACACAATTCCCTCCGAATAGGTCGATCCCTTACTCCGATCAACGATCCAAAACCTATTTCTCCCAGCACATTCAACTGATCCTTCTCCTTAAGGTGTTTAATTAATAAATTCACACTTTTAATGCTGTATCTTGTCGACACTTCCTACATTTTTTAACAATATATAATGTTATAGTTCTTATATATTTTGTATCAACGTATTTACAAGTTTAATGAATACCTTATTTTCATGTGCTTTCCTCCGTTCTTTGTACTCTTTACTATCATTCCTTGACTGTGTGATGTAAGGTTCCTTTTCAGCATCACTCATTGAATTCCATTTGGACCTCACATCTTTTTTCACCTAATATTAAACATAAACGTTTCTTAATCAATACATTAACACTAAATACTAATACTACTCAATGTCAATTTCATTTTACATATCGAACCGCTCTGTGTGCCATCTCCCTTCATCCTTTTGCATTCGGCCATACTGTTAACATTTAAAATTTGTAATCAATTTAAAGTTTATCGATACTTTAATCCAATTACCATTTCAACAATAATAACAAAATGACATTGATACTTACTAGCAGTACATATATCCACCCTTTGGTTGCTTTCGAGTCTCGGCCTCAATTTCAAAGTCATCTGCTCCACCAACAATTTTCCAACCCATTGACTCCATTTTTCCTTCATATATCAGTTTACGCAAATCAAATTATTTCGTTACATACACTTTATTCAATATACAAATATAGATAACTACTCTTGTGGTAAAACGGTTTTCTTCAAAAGAATTTGAATGGCCACACCAAAATGTGTCGGCACATTTATACAACCTATAATATCATTTTCTACCTATAATATTTAATAAAAGTATCGACATTTATATTTTTCCTTGAATATCTATTTCTACCTGCAATCGGTCTCAAATGCTTCCTTACTCCAAAACCCCAAAAAACACATTAAAAACCCTATCGCAATTACTGTAATAATAAAAAATTAGGGTTTCGACAACATACTTTTCGATTCGACTGCATCAACAAACAAACAAACTTCGCTTTAGAAACGCCTTCTGAAATGCAGCAACAATTACTCTTCGATTTCAAAAACTCGTCCGTTCTATCTTTTTTCAGAGGATATTTAGCTATGGCCTTTATATTTTCATCGGATATGTTATTTATATTTAATCGATACAAATACAAAAGTGTCGATACTTTTATGTCAGGTGTCGATACTTTCAAAAGGATAATTACCTATTTCTTTGAAAGTGTCGATAATTTATTACACGTACTTACGAAAGTATCGATACTTTCAATATATCCGGTATCATTTTACCGGTTTTATCATTTTGATACCGGTTTTATCATATTTTTACCTGTTATATCGTTGTGGATCGATATATTTTTTTTAAAGTATCGACACATTATAGGCGCTATAGCTGCTTCTCTTTTAAATTCACAAAGTGTCGATCCTTATATAACGTATCGACACTTTTAAATTTACCGGTTTTATCATTTTGTTACCGGTTTTATCATATTTTTATCTGGTATATCATTTTGGATCGATATATTTTTTAAAAGTATCGACACTTTTTAGGATTTAAAACTGCTTTTAAAGTTATGTAATTTATGTTTCAATTTATTTAATAGTGTTTCATGTTTTCCACCTACAATATTAATTTAATAATTTAATTTACACAAAATTTTATTTGATTGTTTTGATATTTTATAAAATATTATTTAGAATTTAAATTTAACAATATTAACCAAATATAATAATAAATATGTTTTCAACAGTGAAATAAGTATGGACACTTTTATAAAAATGATATATACTTTTTTGAAAGTTATGTAATTTATGTTTCAATTTATTTAATAGTGTTTCATGTTTTCCACCTACAATATTAATTTAATAATTTCATTTACACAAAAAATTATTTGATTGTTTTGATATTTTATAAAATATTATTTAGATTTTAAATTTAACAATATTAACTAAAGATAATAATAAATATATTTTCACAGTGAAATAAGTATGGACACTTTTATAAAAAGGATAGATAATTTACAATATAACAGGTAAAAATATGACAAAACCAGATTCATTATGACAAAACCGGTAAAATTTACTTGATATGTTAAAAGTATGGACACTTTTATAAAAAGGATAGATACTTACCGATAACCAAAGTTTACCGGTTACCAAATTTTTTAATAGTTTTTCATATTTTCTACCTAAAACATTATTAGTTGTCAACATAATAGATACCGCTAAACCGAATTTATTAAATACATTTTAATGTATCTGGTAATGCTGTATATTAGCCGTATATTAACCCGCATTTCCTGAGACATTCCCACCAATTTTAGCAATTATTCTTGCAAAGGAAGGACAACAACAACAAAGGGATTTGCATCCGTGTGAATTCTGCTTCATATGCTAAGAAAAAAACACTTCATGTTTCTTTGACCAGAATTAGTTGAATCCCTTTCTCTCGCTTTTGAAATTAATTTAGAAAAAGTAAATGAAAAGAGTCAACAAAATTCATATAATAAAACTTAGGGTTAATTATAAATTCCTTCACTTAAAATTTTTGTACCTCTTATTTTGATCATTAAAGTTTAAATATTTTTAATTTACTCATTAAACTTTTGATTTGCTCCTATTTTGGTCACTGGGTATTAAATGATAAATTGAAGGGTGTCACAAGGGCAGAGCTTAGTGAGAGCCCAAAGGGCCCCCGGCCCCTGTTAAAATTTGTATATTCAATATAATTTTGGTTTAGTAGTATTTTGGTTCATGTAAAAATAAATATTTAAATTAAAAATATAAAAATTTATTAAATATTTAATCAAGTCATAACCGAACTAAAGAATGATAACCTCGTGTTCTCAAATTTTTTTGTCTAATAACAATTTAGGTCATTGTAAATTTTCAATTTACGCGTAACAATTACTATTATTCGACGTCTTCTACGACCACTTAATATACAAACGAGCTCTCTTCATCGTCTTCTACCACTCTATCAATTTATGTATATTTTTTCAAAATCACTTTTAAAAACTTAAGAAACTCAACCTCAAATCCAAAATTCATAAAACCTTAAACCAATATGATATATACTATCCAACATTCAATAAATGCGGAATCAAGACATACAACTTGATTCCTCCTCCACCTTCCCACTATTATGATTTGAAAGAAGATGCTTTATCGTCGAAAAATCAAACGGAATATGAATCTAGAATTTTCTCAACAAAAATGAAGAAAATTTGGGGGAATTTCTTCTTTTAAAAAATATACAGTCATAAAGCCGCTAAGCATTTAACGGCGGAGTGGCTAAAATAGGAGCAAATCAAAACTTCAATGAGTAAATTAAAAAAATTAAACTTTAGTGACTAAAAGAATAATAAAAAGAAAGTTGAGTAGAGAAATTTAGAATTTACCCCAAAAATTCTCTAGAAAATGTAGTGCTTTGAATGGAATTCAAAACTCAAGCGCGTTTGACTATTTCCAATTCCTTCACCAACTCCCTATTTATATGCGATCCGACATATGGACTTGCATATTATTCCCTTCTTCCGTTCATATTTCAACCAGTTTTCATCAGTTTTTGCCTACCAAATTCAGCATGGCAGATACATTGACAGAAGATCAAATCTCCGAGTTTCGTGAAGCTTTTAAATTGATTGATAAAGATTCAGATGGTATGTATCATCCTTTCCTTCCTCGATAATCAGTAAAGATATTATGTTTACCATTTACCCTTCTTCTTGATATAATGCAGGCTTCATAACCATGGGAGAATTGGCAACAGTGATCCAGGCATTAGACGTAAACCCTACAAAAGAAGAAGTTCAAGGAAATGAGACCATCGATTTCCATGATTTCTTAAACATTACGGCTAGAAAAATGAAGGTAATTCAACCATTTTATTTGCAAGTGTAATGCATTTTTTCTGATCTTATAAAGTGGAGAATGATGCATTTACATAAATCTCACAGGAAAATGTGATCGATGAACTACAAGAAGCTTTCAAAGTATTCGACAGAGATCAAGATGGATTTATATCAGTAAACGAGGTAAAAAGAAGAAGAAGAAGAAGAAGAAGAAAAACAACGTTCCCACTAACTTATTCCAACATTTTTTGAGGAAATTAATGTATGATAAAATCACATTTGTGGGTTGCAGTTGAGACAAGTGATGATGAATTTGGGAGAGAGATTAACAGTGGAAGAAGCAAAGCAGATGATCAGAGAGGCCGATGGTGATGGAGTAGTGAGCTATGAGGAGTTTGCAAGGATGATGATGGCCTTTTGACAAAACCTCTAACTCTATTCAAATTATTGTTAACTTTGTTGGGGGAATGGAGATTCTTCTTCTTCCCCTATAGCTGCACCTTGTGCCATGTACTGCTAATAACTGTAAGCATTGATGAAGAATGAATATACAATAAATAGTTCAAGCATGGGAATATTGCAATTTTAGATGGGCATAATGCCAAAATCAATCCCCCAACATTTGCATGAATAGTCATTTTAGCCCATATTCTTTTATTTGAAACATTTTAGCTTCAACGATTTAATTTTTAGTTAAAATAACTTACGTTAGATGAAAATCGTTAATTGATTAATGATCAATACATGTTGTTAACTTATCATTTTCACGTATACTTCATTTATCTCATAAATCTTTAAATCAAAAAGACTCAAACAATTAACATTGTGATACTCTATATATGAGTTATGTGTTTCTAACTTGTATTTTTTTTTTTTTGCAAATTTAGAATTACATATTAACCCTGCGACTAGAATGAAATTACATGTTTTAATCCCTAGAGATGCATGCCATATATTATATGTTTGGTTGTATAAATTATACAAAGTTATAATAGGGGTGAATATTTGATCGACCATAATGAAAAAGATTGAGTTAGTTGAGTTTATTAATACTATTTTATCATTCAAACTATTTTTAAAAGTTTCATTTCAAATTTGAGTTGTGTCAATTCCAAAAAAAAATTACTTAAATTTTAATGTAATTATTTATAATGTTTTAATATTATCTAGTCCTAATTTAAACGATTCTTTCTCTCTCTCTATATATATATATATATTCGTATTACTTTGGGCCATGTGCAACTAAAATTTCTACAGTAATAAGAGATTATTTTTTTTTAAAAATCCTACAGCAGAGAAGGGATTAAAAAAATTAGAGTACAATTTTAAAATTTTAAGAAATCATGCATAATACTCTTTTTAAGTGGTGTTGATATATTTTTTTGAAAGAAGTGATTGTTAAAAAAATTAATATAATTATATATTTATTTTTTATTTTTTTTATATATTTTATCAATTTAATCATTGTTATAAATTTAATTTAATAAATTTAATTTAATAAATTTAATTTATAATAAAAATCAGACCTGGGCCTGGGATAGGTCTACGCGCATACCAACCACTGCAGCAAACTCTTTATTTGATACTCTCTAGAGCTAGAAAAGAGAAAGATTTCCAAACAGAAGAGTGCAAACATTGGATTAAATTTTGTGATTATGTCTTTATTTTATATCATGATTAGAAGAAGAAGAAGAAGAAACAAAACTACTACTGGCAAGGGTTGGGATTTTTTTTTAATTTCAGGTTTAGGTTGGGTTCGGATTTATGGAGAAAAATACCCGACCTGACCCGAAAAAAATATAATTTTACTTTATATATTTAGAAATAATTACAATAATACCCTTCTATATATTATTGTTTTCAATTAAATCATTTTTTTATTAAATAAAAATAATATTTTTATTATTATTTCGGGTCGGGTCGGATCGGTCGGGTTTTAAAGTTATATATCAGGTCGGGTGAAATCTTGTTTTGGTCGGGTCAGATCTCGGGTGGAGGATTTATTGTTCTCGGATCGGGTCAGGTGGACCAAAAACCCGACCGATGCCCATCCCTAGTACGGATGCATGATTTTATGTTAGGAGGAACGACCTTATAAAATTTTAGAGGAAGCGAAAAATATAATTTTAATAAAAAAATATAAAAAATACATAAAAATTTAAAATTTTTAGTAAGACGACTGCACCTGTCCTTTCTATATTCATCCCTGATTATGCTTCATTACCCCCTCTCTCTTTTTCTTTTTAATAGTTTTAAATACTATTTTCGCAGCTTTTTATGATTTTTCTTGTGAAATTAACATGTTATTTCATAGTTCATGAAGACTAAACATTTTAGTTTATATTATTAACTTTAAAATTTAAAACCCAAGTAAAATTATATATTTTTTATAGTCTAAAATAATTATAAAATAGTATATACTTAAAATGTAAACTTTTTAAAAAAATAATATTCAATTGACTTCAAATATAAAGTAGCCAAAGTTGTGTCAAACAACTAACCTTTTATAGAGGGGAGAAATTCTGCCCCTCAGGAACCCTAAACATTAACCTCTTTGGGGCTGCAGAGATTCCCTCCCCAATTGCATGGCTCAACATTCAACACTCTTTCGTCTTTATTCCCTCTCCAAATTAATACTATAATCTTTTTAATCTTTTACATAATGATAAATTTAATATTTAAATATTTTTATTTAATTCTTATTTTATGAATTAAATTTAATTATCAATGTTTCAGAAAGTATTAAATTTAATTTTTAATATTTTAAAAAATTACTATTTTACTATAAATATGAATTATTTTTTTTTTAATTTTTAATGGTACTAACATAATAATTCACATGTGTTTCATGTTAATTTTTTTAAAATTATTATTTTATTATTTAAATTATTTATTAACAAGACATAAAAAGATAAATAATGACACACTAAATTAAAATACATGTGATATGTTATATTAAAATTATTAAAAATAATATTTTTAATTGACATTTTCTAAAAAATATTTGACACTTTTAACTGGGTGTTCAAAGTTCGGTTAAAATCAGTTTAATTGATTGAACTGAAGTTCTTTTAGTTAATCATTCGATTAATTTTAGGTTCGGTCGGTTAGCGGTTAATGATTTTTTTAAACTTTGATTATCGGTTCATTTAATTCAAAATCGGTCGGTTAACCGAATTAACCGAAATTATTAAAAATTTAATATATTATATATATATTTAATCTAATAGAGTGTTTAAACTTCGGTTTTAACGAATTATATGATTGAATTAACTGAAAATATAAAATATTTAATATATAATATATATTATTTATAAATTTTGGTTAATTCAGTTAACCGACCGATTAACCAAACTTTGTTCAGTTCATTTAATTATTTCCGAAAAAAATTCGATTCAGTTAACAGTTAAAGAAAAAAATTCCTTTAATGAAATTTTAGAAATTCGGTTTATTCTGTTAACTGAACGACCGATTGAACACCCTACTTAAAATTTAAAAATCAAATTTAACTTAAAAAATAAAAATTAAACCGATTTAAGAAGAAATAAATGTTGAGAATTTTTCTTGTTTTTATTTTTTACTGTGAAAACTAATTTATTTCCTATAGAAGATGGGGACAGGAACCTGTTACCTGCTGCTGTGGTTGCACCAAATTCAGGCTTGAAATATGAAAGCAGAAAAGGATAGTCAACAACACCAAACCATTTCCAAGGTACATAGAAAAGAAAAAACCTACACTTAAAATGGAAACAAAGAAAGGAAAATGCATATATTGGCCTGCCATTGAAGGTGATCAAATTTTCACTGGAAAAGAAGTTGTGGTGAATGAAGTAGATTTCAAAAGATATGGTTGTAATATGTTGAATTATATCGTGATCACAGCAACAGGTGAAACTACCACATGATCCGATCTATCCCTCAACAGAGAAGGAAGTTTAGATCATGCTGGCAGCTTCAACTGCTAATAGGTGCACGCCACCTGATGAATAAATAATCATCTGAATAATTATCAAAGAGAAGAAGAGTGTGTGTGTATATAGGTATACATACAGAGGGGAAGAGGGGATTTGAGTGGTTTTGGTGATATGTTGGTTGATTATTTATAACCAAGAGTAGTTATAATGAAAAAGGTTGGGAAATAAAGTGTAGTTAATAATATTAAAAGGGTTAGGATCCACTTGCCTAAAACTTTTAGTTTTATGAACGCATCAACCGGTGAAAACGAGTGTTATTTACCTACACAGTCGATTCTTGTAATGAGTTTTGCCTTCTACTTTTACTAATTTGGTGGGAAGAGATTAGACAATTACATAGTTCCCTAAAAAATTTAATAACAGTAGAAAATTGATAAAAATATTTTGTACAGTGATCAATTGGATTTATTGTTTTTTTTTATTGATTAGAATAAAACTGTAAGTCTGCTTAAATAGACTAATTTACGGAGAATTCTAATACAAATACTATTACTTTAAACAAAACCCTACTTATCTAATGTATAAGATGCAAGAGTTTTTTAAACTGCTTAAGAGATAAGAGTTAGATTTTATCCTAAACTGTTAACAGATAATATTTACAATAATTTAAATCTTTAATATTTATCATCAACAACCAACACTCCCCCTCAAGCTGGTGCGTATACATTGTAGATTCCTAGTTTGAATATGATTTCAATAAAGATAACTATGGGCAGTGCTTTGGTAAGGACATCAGCTAGTTGATTTTTAGTAGAAACAAAGTTCAGCTTTACCACCACACTATTAACTTTTTCTGAGATGAAATATCGATCAATCTCCACATGCTTAGTTCTGTAAAGGTGAGCTGGATTTTTAGCTATACTAATTGCAGATTGACTATCACAAAGTACCTCAAACTTATTGTCTTGACTTAACTCTAATTCAACCAGCAACCTTTTCAACCACCCAAGTGCAAGGGCCCTATACTTGACTTTTGCTCTACTTATGGAAACAACCGATTGTTTCTTGCTTCTCCAGATGACTAAATTGTCCCAAACCATAGAACAATAACCACTAGTAGACCTACTATTAGTCAGATCTCTAGCCCAACTTGAGTCAGTGAAATTTTCATTGATCTGTCTTCTGTTTTTTTTAATTTCAGGTTTAGGTCGGGTTCGGATTTATGGAGAAAAATACCCGATCTGACCTGAAAAAATATAATTTTATCTTATATATTTAGATATAATTACAATAATACCCTTCTATATACTATTGTTTTCAATTAAATCATTATTTTTATTGAATAAAAATAATATTTTTATTATTATTTCGGGTCGGATCGGTCGGGTTTTAAAGTTATATATCAGGTCGGGTGAAATCTTGTTTTGGTCGGATCAGATCTCGGGTGGAGGATTTCTTGTTCTCGGATCTGGTCAGGTGGACCAAAAACCCGACCGATGCCCATCCCTAGTACGAATGCATGATTTTATGTTAGGAGGAACAATCT